ATTCTTTCGATCAGCTATAACACTATTTTTTTATATAGCTATTTTACTCTGTACAATTTGCAAACAAACTATTGTCAATATTGAAATGCACTCTATAGAGCATTCACTTTATTTCAACTACTCCATAGACTGTATCTCATAAATTGAACAAAAAAAGAATTACATAAAGAATCTTCATGCGATTCGTTTTACTGGGTATGTCGTGTTTCACACTTTTAATCCCGAAGGGATTGCGCTAACAGCTTTTTCAAAATATGTAACAAGCTCTAAAAATATTCAATGTAACAGCTCAATGATTTTGATAATTAAAAATACAACGAAACAATCAGATATCTTCCTAGATACAATCTATTATGTGATTTTATAAAATGAAATTCAACAAGACGACAAAAACTACTTGTTTTTCATACACTTAAGGAATACACCACAAATATTTCTTGATAAAAGATGAAGATAGAATAGAATGCAGTTATACTACTACTACTACTACTACTATTTCAAAAAAAAGAATTATCTATTTCGCATGGTTTTTAGAATGAATTAGAATGTCAATTAAAAAATAAGTATTTTATTCGACGAAAAACAATATGGCTGAATAGACTAGTTCAATTCGATTTATACAACAAGATTACTATTAATGATATTTTGAATGGTAAAAAGTTTATTCCATCAGTAGTTATTCAACTGATTCGTCCAACTACGTCACCTCTGACTATTTCTCGAATTATTCATTTTTTCGATCTTGATATTTGTGCCGCTGCATTTAACTCAAAACGAGTTATTATTTCATTCAGTTGCTTACAAGCATTAAATACTGGTCACACAATATGCTATGCAATTCCACGTAATCCATCACAATTTATGAGACGAGTTTTACGTTTTCATAAATATCAGCAGCGAGGCTTTAATATTCTTTGTGCTCATGAATTCGATATAAAAGCATTTCTAACGACAGCTGTTGAAAATTGCAACGAATCTCGACCAGAACGACTATATCGATTTCGACGACAACATTTCGGCGATAATTGTGACACATTTTCATTACAAAAAAAATTTTGTGAATATTATAAATTAAATTAATTTTATAATATAAAAAAAATTTAAGTATTTTGTTCATATATGAGTTAAAATCAATGCAATCAGGATTTTGAAATATTATTTCAAACTTCATCATATATCAATAGAAATAATGTATATTTTTTACTCGTACTTTCGAGCATTAACTCAGTCTGTGTTGTTATAATCAAAATACTACAACTTATGCCATTATCTTCTCTCTTTAATTTCGGATAAAATAAAACCTTAAAATCATCACATATCGCACACATTGTTGCATATTCATTTTTACATGTCAACATTTTTCAAGAAATAGTTCCCTTTCCATTTCCACAACATTCTATATTAAATCACTGCACAAACCAAATGATTCGCTAAACAAAATTTTTCATAATGTATAGATAATTAGCCTTATTGACAACGTCTTCCAATGTCGAAGCAACAAGTAAAAACATTGCTAACAAATTTTTTTACGAACTAAATACTTCACCATTTCACATTTTGAATATAACTTTCGTTACATTATACTTGTCGAATTGTTGAATTTAATTTATAACAAATAAATCTATCGTTGCCTAATAGACCAATAGATTTCATATATCCTACGCTCCAACCAATTATTTCATATACTCATGCAAACAATAATCTCTCCGTAATTTCATTTCATAGTATACCTAATCTCACATCTACTACTTCGAATTATCAGTATATAGAGAATTCTAAAATTGTACTCTTTGACACCGAAAAGTATGATTAACGCGCTACTATTTTCAATTCATTTTCATTTAGAATTGATTTTTTCTGCTCTTTTTTCTATTTCAATATCTATAAATCGACTATTTCTTAATGAAACGCACATACGACACAATAGAAAACGGTCATAATGCCAATGCTAGAGGCAATGCTGTCATTGAAGGTGTCGTTATCGTTGTAACGCAAATTTCCGATAGTCAAGGTGATAAGCGAGGAAAGTATTGGACAGCATTAATTTGTGATACAAATCAAAATGTGATTCGTATAACAAAATATTTGTCATCGAAAACAAAATGTTCACTACGTGAAAAAATGCTTCAATATTATAAGAATAAAAATGGAGTTAAATTAAATAAACTTAAATTAAATGGTGATGATAATTACATTGCTACATATGAAACTACTTCAACTTCAATACTCATATCGTTTACACCTATATGTATGGAACTCATTTCAATTGAAAACATTCAATCGATGTCCGACGGACAGTATGTTTCATTCACGTGTAAAATAATTGACATCGGTCCGGTAAGGATATTCTACATATCATAGTTTCCGATATTGCTTCTATGACTAAGGATGAACCAATAATTTTCAATAACGGAGGAAAAAGAGTTCAAAAATTGAAAAGACTTTCAATCGTTGCTGACAAAACTGGTTCTATTAACATGAATATATGGCAAAACCAATTCGAGTCAATAAAACAAAATCTATCGTATACAATAAAATTGGCTAAAGTTAAAGTTTTTAACGATGAAATAACTGTCACAACTACAACAAATACGACGTGAGTTATTTTTCTATTTCACGTATCGCTATAAAATCTCTGTTAAAAGAGCACTATATTTCTCTCTCGATATACATATATCTTGTTCTCAAGTATCTCAAAACAAAGCACTAATCGTTTAACCAGAATAGTACATCTGTTTTACTTTGTTATTTCAGAAGTGTATGAATAACTAATCAATATACTATTAGTTATTCGACAAAGAGTCTTTCTCAGAAAACGTTCCCTATTTTCTTAGAACAGATATCGACAATTTGTCAAATAGTTTTCAAATGATTCATCTTTATAAATAAACGCTAATCAAACACTTATTTTTCTTTTTTTTTCTTCCACTAAACCTTTGAAGGACAGAATCAATTTATGTTCTTATTCATTTCCTTTCATATCCTATATAATCATCACAGACTTGTTATGTCATACTATTGCAATATTCTTATGGTCTATACGATATTATTTTTGGTGAAAGAGTATTAAGTTTCCTTTTACACATGTTTTAATTCTCTATTATTGTTTTATATAACTCTACTATAACTTTACATCCTTTCAATCTTTTTCTAAAACAAAAAAAATTACGATAACAATTGACTTCGTTCTTAATATAAAACATTGCCTATTAGATCAACTAATCATGAAACAGATATCATTTTGGTTTTAGCTATACAAAAAAAAATTCCATTTTCAAATAAATATCGATCCATCATTTCCTACTTTCATAGGTGTGAACTAGTTGATGATATTCAAGACATTAATTGTTCCGACTCTTTTCAAATTCCACATGAAATAACAACAATATGTAATATCAGATCAATTGCACTCATTGAAAGTCGTCCCAAATGTTCAAAATGTTATTCAAGTCAAATCGACAATAACGGAAAAACTATCAAATGTCTGTCATGCAAATCAAGAACTATATGTCCGAAACAGAATATTGATCAAACCCAAATTCAATTGACTATTACTAATGAAGATCATCACCAATTTGAACTTATTGTTGATATAGGAAAAATTCGAGATCTATTACTACAACTGAATTATAAACAACTTGCTGAACAAAATTTAGTTGAAGACGAAAACGTTCTATTAGTTTTGTCTTCAGTAGACCTTTCATTTACTTTTAATCCGCAAAGCAAACATATAAATAGTATTGCTATTACTCATGTTCCCAATTAATTAAATAATGCATCATCAATAAACAAAGATTAAAAATCGATTACTAATACTAATTGACACAGTTTATATCTATTTTTTTGATAGTCTTAAATGAAATAAAATAATACCTATCTAAACATAACTAATGAAACAATAATAATAAATTCGCAAAAATAAAATACAGATAAATCTATATCTACTGTGCTTTCATGTTGTTTTTAGTTTCATTCTTCAATAAATCAGTACAAACATTTTCGTATAATAAAATCGCTACTTTTATGACAATCAAATATGCGACTTTTTTACGATAAAAATGAATGGGTTTATCACAAAAGAAAACAAGTACAAAAACACAATTCGTACTAAACTGCGACATGTAAACTATTATCCCCATGCGAAGCAGAGCTGGGTAAGTCAGTTCAAGTCAAGTCAAGCCAATTCAAGTCAACCCAAGTCAAGCCAAGTCAAGCCAAGTCAAGCCAAGCCAAGCCAAGCCAAGCCAAGCCAATTCAAGTCAAGTCAAGTCAAGTCTTGTAAAGTCAAGTTTACTTAAAAATTTTTCCAAGCCAAGTCACATTCCGAGAATTAGAAATTTTTATAAAATCAGCTGATTATATAAAAATTCCTAATTCTCGGAATGTGACTTGGCTTGGAAAAATTTTTAAGTAAA